ATTCGAACGAGATCGCTGCCTGTATATGCATAGAATATACCTCGTGTACATTCCATGTATATACATGTAACCAAGGTTGGGAAAGTTACTTTATAAAAGTAACTCGTTACCGTTACCGTTCTTTTTTTTAAAAAGTAACTCGTTATCATTACTCGTTACCAATTTTAAAAAGGAACTCATTACCGTTGCCGTTACTCAAAAAGTAACGAATTGTTACAATTTCTGTTCAGGATTACAAGTAGCAAAACGAGAATTTGTTCAAAGCTTCGAGAATCGTTGGCCTTTCTTTCGCCGCTGTTTGTTTATTCCAAGCGAAGCGGCCTTCAAGCGGTTAGTTCGCGTCCGTATAAGAAATCGCCGAAAAATGATTAGTTGTATTTTTCTAGCGCCTAATGCGATTGGCAGCTTGTTACCAAGCTCGCGGTGTCGATCGCTGATAGGCAGCTTTTCGGCGGCTAGCGTCGACTACGTGCCGGTTGCTGCATGCCCAGCCAGAGTCCGAGACGAGAGAGCAGCGAGCACGGACGTGCAACGCGAGTGTATCGCGACGAAAGACTTTGTAACGCGAGCGCGCGAATGAGTTCGATGTCTAGACTGATCGCCGGGTGTGATTTTCAATAAAAAACTAGTGAAACCCACGAGGCGGATCATTCATTTCCAAGCGCGAACCGGCCGCCGCAAACGAGCAATAAAGAACCGGCACAAATAAATATTTTCTCTCTGCTACGGAAGAACGAAGGCTCTCGTACAATTTCCGTTACTTTTTTTATATATAATACAAATTTTATGCACAATTTTTCTAATACAAAATTAAATTAAACACTACAAATTTACAGTAAACATTAAAAATTTTTAAACATTATTTTTCATTAAAGTAACAAAAATGATATAATTTTAATAATGATATCGCTATTAATATAAAGTGTAATAATTTTAATAATGTATAATAAAAGTAATAATTTTTATAATAAGATATTTTAAATAAGAAAAATTTTTAATAAGTTGTAAACCAGCTTTCTTAAAAATTTTTAGATGCTGTAAATTGCGACGACTTTTCCGTCGGGCAGAAGTACACCCGCCGGTAAGCGTGTCAAACCTCGCTGCTCTATTTAATTGATTTATTCATTACTGTAATACTTATAGTTGGGCGCCAGGCGCGGATTGACGCGCCGCACGAACGAATTACGTTAGAGACAATATTTTACTTAAGGAGCAACGGCGATAAGCGCGACTAGCCCACTCTACAAATGGCAGAGGGGCGAGGTTCTTTAGAGATGCTAAATACCGATTTGGAGAGAGGAGTCTGAAATAGATGGTTATTAAGAACACATTAATTGGTAACAAATAACATTTAATTCTAGTAATTAGATCAAGTGAGATTGACGCCGGGTGATAGACGTCTTAACCATCCCGCGAAGGGGAGACATAATTTTTCTCTGTGAGAGGCGTTATGATTTGGATGTTTGGTGCGCGGAAATCCGCGTGCTTCTGTCTCACGCGGTATAATATATTCGACGTACAAGTTCTATAATTCTCATTAGGTACGGTCGTTACGATTCACTCTACTTTAATCTCTCTTACTAACAGTTAACACACAGCGCAATTCGTTCTCAATAGAAAGTAGCATACAGTACAAATTCTGTCTCGATTTTATTCTTACGATTCTGATTGTAAGCGCTCGACAGAAGGCCGAGGCGAGAGATACGCGACAAGCTAACTCCACAAATTTTCTTACGCTCGGTACTTAAACACATGAAGAGACGCGAAATTATTACGCACAAAAACAAGACATTATCCTACGCAAAACGACTGTCGGCTCGGCAGCCCCGAGGGGAAAAAGCATGGTGAAATCTTACTATACAGAAGCGGTAGTCAGCGGGGCCCGGCCTAAATCTAACCTCGCACGATACCGCGAGACATCTCGGTATATGCTATACCCTTTACGCCAAATATGCGGGTTCTTATTTCCGCGAGGCTCGGGCCGCCTACTGATACCGCTCTTACCGCGAAGTCGAAGTGGTGGCCTTACAAATCGTCGGTACGCCCGTTGTGGTCCTCGAGGTTCCTATCAGGTTGCCGACTCGCCGAACAGTGACGACAGCGAGGCTCGCCGGACAGCGGTGACATTTCGCGCATCGTCCTGCGCATGTAGATCCTCGCTATCAATTAGCGATCTCGCTATCAATTAGGATCAATTTCTTGATCCTTCGATGTTTCCTAGATCTCTCGATGCTCGCGTCGCTCCTCGATACATCGGCCCTCGGTGACGCTTTTCCGAGGTGACCCCGGTCTCTCTCTTAGAGCAGCTGCCGTTAACGCCCCTCGCGGCCTTTTCCGTTTACGGATCCGAACCTTCTCTGAATCGGCCGGGAACTGATCAAGTTCCGACCTGATTCTGCTTTGGATCGTTACGACAGCTCTTTTTTCGGGTACTCCACCCCGGGTCTTCGGCGTGTGAGAGCGCGCTTCCCTCTCGGGCGTCATCTCTCTCGGTGCGTCCACCGGCCTCGATATGCTCCAAATCTGAAACTGTATCTGCGGTAGCGACAGTCTGGAGTCGAACTGTATAAGCAAAGGTATTTTTACTTGCCCTTGTTCCGGATCTGTCTACGCGCTGTCCGGGCCTCCGTCGTCCTGCCTACTGAGTCCCTCGCAGGTCCCACGAAGGCTGCTTCACCTTAGTCACAAAATGGGAGTTTGGCCACTCACCACGACTCGCGCAATTCGCTACAACGCTCAAAAAGAGAATTAAGAGGGAGAGGTCGTCGCCCCCCGCAGTGGGGTTTTCGACCTCAAATTTCCCTCCTAAATCGGGCTTTTTTGCCCTTGTGACGGACCTCAAAAATGTCACGTCACAAAATATAAATTTAAAAGTTTTCTTATTGTTAGTTTTTCTATAAATTCGTAGATATATAGAGTAAATTTGAAAAATGTAACGATAAAAATAACTTAAATTCGTTACTCGTTACCGAAAAATGTAACAAAGTTACTTTTTTCGTTACAAAAAAATTTGTAACGCCGTTACCGTTACAGTTACCGAAAAAAGTAATTGTAACGGTAACGGCGTTACAAGTAACGCGTTACTTCCCAACCCTGCATGTAACATACATATATACGATATACGCTGATGTAAGGTACATTTATAGATATTGTTGTGCCCCTTGGTGAGGGCACGGGTTCGGGATCTGCCGCTAAGGGAGTTAGGCCGGGAATTCGGGAAATAATCCTTTGTTTTAAATAAAACAATCTCCGTATATTTATTGGTCTTGTTATTTTACAAGTTCCCTTGTTAACAGATGATCCAAGTTCCATCCCAGGAATCTTGGTCTTAGCTTAAGTCCACAGATCCTCAAGTTACTCGTATTAGCCTTGGCGATTCGTTATAGTTCGCGATCTTCTTGATTCGCGGTCCCGACGGACATACGTCCGTTCCGTTTGACTGTTAACATTCGACCCGCCGTCGTAAACTCGCGACGGCGATTTTATAGTCGCGAAACTGCAATTGATTGCAGTTTTGAAGGTCTTTTCGATCGAACTTGCTGACGAATTCCGATAGTTCGTCTGCATTCTCGCGTTAAGAACGAATTTGGTTTTCATTTACGCTGCACGATTCTCCGGTGTCTCGCACGAGCCGGAAACGTACTGAATCGTCAGCGTTTTTATCTGATATCGTAATCAGATATGTAATAACTGTTCTTATATAATTATATTTTATTAATATATATATTTTATTAATTAATAATTGGTTGTGGTTCTCTGGACCCACAACAATATATATAGAATGTATATTTGAACGAGATCGCTGCCTGTACATACATAGAATATACCTTGTGTACATTCCATGTGTATATAATACATGTAACGTACAAACATACGATATACGCTGATGTAGGTACATTTATGGATATACATAGGATATCGTATGGATATAAATAAAATCAGTCATTAGTTCGTTCACTGGCTGCTATGTGACGCATTATGCGCTATCTATCTCGTATTTAAGTTTTAATCATGAAAACTATATAAAACTTGCAAAAGGCGGGTAATAATATTGAAGTCTTCAATTTGAAGATGTAATAACTTTTTCTATCAATTTAATATCTGAATCCCAACACAGGGAATTTAGATAAACTGATTGTTCAAAAATTGGGTAGATAAATATCCGAATAAATAAAAATTGTTTATTATTAAAAAACGTACTGTATATACTATATACATACATAGAATGTACCTCATGTACATGCCACGAATGTGTATTGCACATCCTCGGAATTTATCCTATGTACATACTGCGAACGTGTACTGCACATCCTCGGAATATACCCCATGTATATATCACGAATGTACACTGCATATCTTTGGAATATACCTATGTATGTACTATGGACATCCTATGTACATACACGTGGTAATTATTTCACATACATAGAATATGCGCTTTATAAACTTCTCACGTTCTCTGTATATACATACAATATACAATATACATATATGTATATACATAGGACGTACATAGAATGTCCTAATGTTTATTGGGTATACACATAGGGTCTGGATTGAATTTCGCTTTGCGTAGAAAGTCGTAAACCCATGTGGAACCTCGCTTCGCGTTGTAAAGTGTATGCGTGGATGCAGTGGGTGCCGCCCCTCCTATGGGGGCTTTTACAAGTTTTTTGATAATAACGACTAAAATATTGAAGTTAGGTAAAATATGTATAGGACCTTATTTATAGATCTTTTATGAGCTTTATTTTTTGTTTAACAACTTTTTCCGTACAATGAATATTTTCTGAAATAATTAACAAAAATAGTTTTACCTTTGAAAGGGGCTGGGGGGCGGAGGGGGCATTTGCGCCAAAAATCCATTGGGAATATTATTTACTAAATAAAATAAGTATTTGGGCTGAATATCAGCCAAATCGGAGGTGATAGCTTTTCGGAAGTTTACCCCAATATGGAATACATTAAAATAAAAAAAGAAATAATTTAATTTTTTTTAGTATTACCAGCTAAAGAAGAGCCGTTACCAGGTTGGGTGGACAATCTGAATGGTCCTATAGGATTGCTCGTCGGTGCGGGCAAAGGTGTCATCAGATCAATGCACTGCAACAGCAGTTATCATATTGAATATATACCGGTTGACATTGCGATTAATAATCTAATTGTAATTGCATACAGAGTCGGTACCAAGCAGGAGAAGTATGTAACTCCGCTTTGTGCAATTCTTTTTTTTGTCTCATTGAACATACCGAAAAAACATTCAAATCAGAATATGTTATTCAAAGCTCGCTTTGGACAATTGCAACATAATATGAGATAACATTCTACTTATTATTTTGTGTGTTCTATCGTATAAAAAACAATAAAAAAATCAATATATACACATGTAAGGATTATTTATTTTGTGCGTATTTCAAGTTTTGAAATGTTTTTATATTACGTAAAATTATAAATAGATATCTATCTCAAATTTTGTTGCAAATTAATTGTCCGAAGTAAATTTAACATGCAATATGTCTATAATTTGTAAACTATTTCTTTTCTACTACTATTTCTTATAATATTTAATATAAAATAATTATATTATTAATTTTTAAAAAATTTGTAACGTTTAAATTTCTCTCTTGTGGGCTTACAATTGTCAATCCATTTATAGATCAAAAAGTATACCTGTGTTCAACGTAACGCAAGGTAAAATAACAGAGATCAAATTCAGCGAGATACTTAAAATGGGTCAGCATGTTGTTCACGAATATCCCTTTGAAGGACAGGTTTGGTATCCTGACGGCGATATACGTAGCAGCAAATTTGTGCACAATTTATTTGTCTTCTTTTTCCACATCATACCTGCGTACTTTATCGACTTCTTAATGCTGATATTTCGACAAAAAAGATTGTAAGTTCTGAGTACTCTTTATGACAATGTTTATCCATTAATAATTACTTATTATATAATGCTTTATTAATATAATTGCATACTATTATGTGATCTATTTTAATTATTATCTTTTCTTTATGTTCTTTCTAACAGTATGGTCAGACTCCAAAAACGAATTTCACATGGGCTCGAACTACTGCAACATTTTACCACGAAAGAATGGGTATTTCATAATCATAAGATATGTACTATGTTCGACGAATTGTTGCCAGAGGACAAAAAAATGTTTCGCCTTTATGTCGAAGCTAACTTTGACAAAGAGGAGTATTTGAAGACTATTGTTTTGGGTACTCGACAATACTGCCTGAAAGAAGACTTATCTTCCTTGCCGAGAGCCCGTCGGCATCAAAATATGTGAGTATATTTTGCATAAATTATATTCCATGTTTTATATTTCTGTACAAAGAGAACAGTTCCACAAAATTTATTCAGTTGCAGTTTAGAAATGTTTAAAATGCGAAATAATGTTTGAAGGTTTCAATAAATAGAGGAAAGGTAAATACAGTTAAAAATACTTTACATAACTTGACACTCGTAAGAAGTTTCTACATTTCTTGAACGACAATTGCGTATTCTCAAGAAAAACTGAATTTTCATTGTGAGATAAGATAATTAATATAAGAGTAATATGTGAAAGTTAGGATAAAGAAAAATAGTAAAAGGAACAAACGTTGTTAAAATTTTTCTCTTGTTTAAGTATTCTCTTCTAACGTTGTACATACGTTTTCATTTAATATTTTGGCTTACATTGAATTTTTACGTATAATCACAATGCAGTAGCAGTCAAATTTACTGTTACGTTCTGATAGAAGTTGAATTTTTCGTTGGGCTCGGCGATCAACGTAAACGGGCCTGACCGCACGAGCCGAGCGGCACGTTTAGGACTTGCGACTGAAAGAGTCGTTTTTACTCCGTTGACAGGTCAACCGCTTGTTGGTTCCCTTTTTGGGTCAAGGAATTAAATCCCTTTTACCCGGGATGGAACCTTTGTGCGCAATTTGAGAGGGAAGGTGTGATGGGGTGACAAACGAGGAGGGTGATTAAATAAATAAAAACAAAAGTTTAATTTGCTAATGGCTTAACATTTTAATTTAATTAGATATTTAATTTGGATACAAAAAAACTTAACCCTTAATCGCATGTGTGTGTTTATAATTTTATTTGTGTATTTTTTACAATGGTGATTGAGAGTGTAAATGTGTGTGGGCGTTATTCCTCAATGGAGAGGACTAGATTTAAGAAATCAAACCCTGTGAACACAGGGTGAGGAAGATTGGGAGGAGGCTCGACGTACTCTATGGTGGTGGCTTCGGAGTTGACGGATATGTTATCGAACTCAAGATTGTTATGTGAGAATTCTTTCAATTGAGCCTCTACTGGAGGAGGATGGAAACGGACAGGCGAAGGGGGTCTGTACTCCAGGAGCTCTTCCAGGATCGGGGAGATAGACCTGGGAGTAGGAAGTGGTGAAGGGTCGAACACGGGGAAGGGTTGAGGAGGTTGTTGAGGAGATTCCTGAGGAATCAGTTGTAATGCAGGCGGTGGGTCGGTTTGCGTGTGTGCGTGTGTGGTGGTACGGTAGTTATCGAATGACAAGTGTCGCCTAATTCTAATGGGTCTTACGGTGACCCTCGCCGCGTATCTAATATACGGAGGGACAAAAATGGCTAGGGTTAGTGCGAATGCCGAGATGTCTGAACGGTTCCGACGATTGCTGAAGGCGGGTAGCGGCGAATGTTCAGTTCTCACTGATAAATAACAAAAAGATTTTAAACGAAATGAGGACGGAGCAAATAATAGTCATAAAGTAAATACCAGTGAGAGTGAGAAGAAAAATAAAAGAAAAACCAACTTACTTGTTGCAGAGTAGTCTCGGATCGGGTTAGTGCTGAGTAGGTTCGGATTGTTCTAAGCGGGCGCCTTGCTGAGGGATGGTGCTGTATAGGCGTCGAACCCCCTGTTCTTTGTAAATGTGTGGGCACCCTGCTGCGGGATGGTGTTGTACAGGCGATGAACCCTCAATTCGAGAAGCACCACTTGGTCGCGGCAAAGTGGTGTCGATTGGTGACTCTACTCGCGACTAGTTTTACCTTTTAATTCGCGCCCCGAACTACTCGAAAAACTGTTCAAGAAACTGAGCAAAAACTGCGTAAAACTGTGTGAAGAATTGTGTGGAGCCACCAGAACACGGATTTTATACCCTTTCCTTGGGGTGGATCCATTTGAAAAATCTTGAGTTTTTGAAGCGGGGATCAAATAGGAATTAGTTTTGCGAGAAGATTTTTAATGTGGGGGAGGGTGGCGTCATTTTTAGCTAATAGGATTAGGTTTAGGTAATTAGGTTACTTGGAATGGGGGTAGAAAGAAAGGAGCCCTAACGAATAAGAAATAGCGTCGTTTCGGGTCCATATACGATGGGGGTAGGTTTTTGAGGTGGCGTAACCTGATTGGTGTTAAGTATAGGTGGGGTGCATCTCAGTGTCTTAAGATCTGGATGGGCGTAGTCTTTAGACCATACGACGGAATAAAGGGTGGTCTATAGAGGTGCTTGCCCCGATTCCCGGCTTTCGGATTGGAGTGTTAAGAATCGGTATATGAGTTGGCGAGGCCTTGGGTCACTGATCTAATAAATTTGACAGTTTACGACTGTCGCGTGGCCCTGGGGTCGCGTGGAGAGTGCGATTAATGTATCTCGGTTTCCCAGACCTACTGAACACGTGCACCGTATCAGGTGCCGTGCCTTCTCGGCATGCGACTGCGGTCATTGCCCGATCGTCACTCGGTAAAACCCTATCTACTAGCTAGGGTTCCTGTAGGCGAAATTTAAGTATATGGCTAGCTGGTGCCAGTTTTTCTTTTTATCTCTTACTCTAAACATCTGGAGTCGACTAAAGACTCCAGTTACCGCAAGTTTTGACTTTTACGATTTTTCTGGCGACGATAGGCAGGTTGAGCGGCCGAGATATTTTGAAATATCTATCCCCCTTGCTATTTTTCTCTGTAAGAAAGTTCAAGCTTGTGATGTCTCTGGGGAAAAAAAACCCGGCTTATAATATTCTTTAAGAGTTTTTGTTGATTCCGCGTTTACTAGGTCTGGTATTTAATGAAAAGAAAAGAATCGTGAAGTCTGATCAGAACGTAACAATACTTTACTATAAATTTTAGTAAATTATTTACAAAATTTTTAGATTTACTAAAAAAATTAAATCTAATTAAAAAATAAATTTGCAAAGCTAAATTAAAATTAATTTACATTAAATTAAATTTGCATCAGTAAGAATACATTAAAATAAAACTAAAATTGACTTAAATTTTATGTATTTTAATTTTTTATCTTTTTTCGATTTGTATACAACTTGTCAAACTTTCTGTCATAAAATTCATTGTTTATGTGAAATATGTATGTTTCAGAATGTATGCTGTTCATATTACAACAGTGTACCTATTCTACTTTGGCATATTATATTACATTTACAACAACTCTGAGATAATGAGAATCAGTCTGGATTATATCTCGGAGAAATTGAAATTGTTGCCGATCATAGACAGATTTATGTAGAAAGCGCATTTATAAGAATGCATACTGTTGCGCCCACGGAACGAGGTATCAAACACGTCAAACGGAACTCGCGGAATAAAGGAACACTTTATTAGAGTAAAAGAAACACTTTAATAATAACAGTAACTCAAACAAATACAACGAGTGACCGAAAAACAGATTGAAAGATCGGAGCTGTCATATACGTCCGCCCGAGCAGACAGCTCCCGAAAATCTGACATCTCACAGTTTGTTTACAAACTGTCATAGAGACGTCTCAGCGGCTAAACAATATTATCATAGAAACTATTTACAATATCTCATCTGTTAAGGGAGTTATCGCAATTTTTCAACAATTTAAGAATATTTTGAAAAAATTACCATGTATAAATAACATTATTATGTACAACATGTCAAAATTTCAGAGGACTCAGCTTCACCGAAATCGAGATATAAATTCTCAAAGTTGTGAGTTTTAATATTGAATCTTATGGAGGGATCGTTGTGAAAGGCATATTTTAAACAATAGCGTCGAAACAAAATTTAGGAAAATTTTTAAAAACTAATATGTTATTAAGGATTGTAGTCACTATACTATAGTTTAATTTCAGGAAGCTTAGCTTCACGGTTTCCAAAATATTGCGTTTTAAAGTTTAAAACACAGAAAAGTAGACGTTACATGCTACCAAGACGTGGCAACGTTGCGACTGCTGGCCGACGACACGTGAGATTTCCGCGGCAGAAAACATATAGGAATTTTAAATAATCACGCATGAAGACATTTATTTATTTAATATAGGCATAAGTATAGAGTAGATCAGAAAAAAATAAAAAATATATTATAAAATAATATAAAAAACTTAAAAATGATTAAAATATTTTAAAATACATACATATACAGATATATATATATATACAGGGTGTCTGGCAATAATCGCCCCACCGGTCATATACAGGTAGAGGAGGTCAAATCGAGTAGAAAAGTCCTTTACCATTTTTAATTTTCATAATAAGTACTGAGTAATTAACGAAAAAGATCGGCGAATCCGCGCGAGTAAAGCGCGCGCGGTGAGAAGGACGTCCCACTGCTACGCGATCACTAGGACACAAGG